CTGAACGACTCTTCAGGGTCAAGCGGAGACGTCTGAGGAAGCCTCCCTCCCATTGGCGGGGAACGAGTTCCAGAGCGTTTCTGGACTCGGTGTTGTTTACGAGGGATCGCCGCACGGAACCCGTGAGTCTTCGGTAAAGGGAAGAAAGGCCTGTGCCGTCGACCGCCGCACGTCTTTTTGGGTCCCCCTTAGTACGCCTCCTCCCTACCGCGGTTTTCCGCGTCTTCTTGCAGGTCTTGGAGGCCGAATCTCTCTCCAGCTGAGCAACTCCTTTCAGCTTCTGCTGGCGAGCGGCCTGTGGCATGTCTGACCAACACAAATGACAGTCTGAGAGGTGAGGAAACAAGCACCGTCTGTCGCTTGGCATCATTTTGGAACACAGACACAAATCCGCAAGGATGTTCTCTGTTTGGACAAAACATTTACGTCTACACACCCACGACAAGAGCAGCTGTGACAGGGGTGTTGCTCTGAGAGCAAGTCCGATTTCATGGCAGCAGGTGGCGGATCAACCGCGGTGCGAGACTGGGAGTTGGGGCGCTCAAATCCCCCCCAAAGAGCAAACAAACCGTGAAAAAAAAACACACACATCCTTTGGGTTTTGGGTGTGGGCGCGGATTCCTAGTGATCAAGTGATCAAGAACCGTCCCTTCGGTGGAGCCCCCAGTGATGGGTCGCCTTTCGGCCCGACCTCTTGCCAACCCCGGCCCTCCGGATCCACTGCGCGACCCAGTCGACCCGGTCGACCCGGCCCCACCGCGGGCGGACCGCTCGCCTTCCGCTCCTCTTCTTGTCGCTTCTGCTCCTCCCGCGCGCGGCGCTCCTCGGCCTTGGGAGGTGAAGAACGGACCCGTCGTGATGGAACACTCGCTGTGGATGGGGTTGGAAGGAAGCAAAGGTTAAAGAGTACGTTTTTTCAAGGACCGGGTCAGGGGATCAAAAAGGATTCCAATCTGCTCATTCTTGACCTTGTGGCCTTGTATGGCCTTGTGGTTGTTGATTATGACCATGATTATGGCCAATTCTAGAATATAACATAATATAACAAAACCTCTCGCAAATTGATTGAGGAGAATCATGGAGAATCTTGCTTTATACTTGTTCTACCTTGTCCACATAAGGCACAAGAAACAAACACTTCGTAGTATGGAACCAGTTGGTTGGTTCTTTTAACAGCCGCTTGATAACAGACCTGGAGCAGGAAGGATGTCTTCGGCGAAGACTTCTGGAGTCCTTTTGATCTAAGCCACTGAGGCCTCGACCCACTTGGCCTCCTGCTCTTGCCACCGCCGGCCTCGGGACCAACGGCGTCCGTTCGGTTGGACCGGGATTCGACCCTGCGCACGGACTGACCTTGTAGGGTGACCTTGTAGGGAAGCCCAAATCCCCCAAAACAGGTTTAAGCTTTTAAGATCTTTTAAGGTGATCGACTCTTCCTGGGTAGGGTGTGGTTCAACTGGAGTCCTCTCCACCACCAAACCCCGCGTTCCCCACTCAGCGTCCGGACGGGCTTCCTCTTCCTCGGCCTCCCGCCGCCGCCGCTCCTCCGCATCCTTCTGCGCCTTTAAGGCTTTTTGCTCGGCCTCCCGCTTCTCCCGACCTTGACGTGGCGAAAGACAGGAACCACCCAAAGCCGGTGGGCTCCTGAGATATATCCTAGGCCCTAGGCTATAATGATGCCCCCCCTTGTCTCGCTCGACCCATCTGGTCTCACCACGCAACAGCGTCTCAGATCCCCAGCTCTTCCGCTCCTGGGAGCTTTCCCTCTTCTCCTCGCCGGCGCGGCAGACGGCACCGCCGAGCCGTGAAAGAAGCCGCGGAGCCGAGCCGAGTCACGTTGGGAGCTCGTAGGAGAGCAAGGGCCCAACCCTCCCCGAAGAAAGTGGGGAGAAGAAACTGGAGACCCGAAGCGGCTTCGTGGGGAGAAGATGGAAATCCGACTTACTTGTGGCTGTTCCGCAGGTCCGTCATCCTGCGAAGAGTTAAAAACTCGAAGGGGATCCACACATACCAGCACTTAGTTAGGTGCTTGATGGAGGATGGGGGATCTACGCGTCACAGCCACAGCCATGCGGATGGACTCCACACTGATTTGGCATGATTGCTGATAGGCCCGGCCCCTAAATTAGCGCGGCCGCGATCCACTTGGATCTCATCATTCCAGAGATTCCCAGGGTCTCCTTCTCCTTCTCCTTGTCCTTCTCCTTGTCCTTGTCCTTCTCCTTCCTCTCTCTCGGGCTGGGCGACCGAGATCTGGCTGTTGGGATCACGGACAGGCGCAAGTGACGTGGCAGAGGGCTAAGGAGATACAGTACCTCCTACACCAAAAAAATAAACGAAAAACAAAACTTATTAAATATACTCAATGGGGTAAAAGGACCAGGTCATACTGGATCTTTGGACTTGTAGGGGTAGAAGTCGTTCTCAGCATCATGGAGTAGATCGAAATGGAGCAAATCCAACAAATAACAGCAGACCAGGAGTCGCAAAGGGGTTGTTTTTAGTCCCTAAGTGAGTGGATAATGGGCACCCTAAACCATGGATAGCACCCCTTAGTTTGAAGTTTGAAGTGCTTGAAGTAGAATGGGCTTTGATGGACAAGTACGAGCAACACTGAGTCTGAGAAGCTGTATTCCGGAACTGAGGGAGAGGTCTTGATCAAGATCTTCAAGCTGCTCTTCCATCGGCAGTGCCACATCCCCCCCTCAACGACATCATGTGGAAACCAGGAAGGGTTTGTTGAGGAAAGTGTGGAGAGTAGCCGTCCGGGGCACCATGATTGGAGTGCCCAAGAAATAAGCAGGCCCTGCCAACCCACGATCACTCATCCAGCTGCATCCCTGTTGAAGAAATAAGCAGAACACGATCAACACAAAGGGAAAACGCAGAATTGACGTGCAAACAAGTCAGTTTGTGAAAGTTCATCAGTTTCTCTTTTAAAAAAACACGTCTACCTGCAGTCACAAAGGGGTGCTTAATGGAGGTTAGGGGTCCATCATCCACTCACTTAGGGACTAAACACCACCCCTTTGTGACTGCTGGTGCAATCATGTCTCAAATGCCCTAGAACATGAGGCAAAGTAGGGCCCTTACAGCCCTAAGGTTCCGCATTGTCTTGCGTAGACCCCAGACGATGGAAACATGTAGAAACCATGTACATATTTGGACGTACTGTGTTTCGTCACTGCGGTGTCTTTCTATTTTTGCACTGGTGGTTTGTGATTTTCTCAGAACCGACCGGGCGGCCGCCTCCGGCGACTTCGTTGGAGCCTCGGGGCGCACGGGCGAAAGCGGCGTCCAGACTGCAGACCACGTTCCGGACCCTCCGAAAAACGCCTCCTTAGAACCGAACATTGGGGGTCAAACCTTGGGCCACTCTGTGTTCTTAAGTTCTTGGCCCCCTTGTCCAGTCAGTGTGAGAACGGGTCAACATCTCCAACCTAAGAACCTGGGGCGACACGGGACGGGGCGACATGTCACGCAGGTCACGCAGGCGCGGTGCGACTCCAGTCACATCACGGGACCGCGCAACGAACGGAGTTGGACTCTGGGTTGGGGCTCTCAATTCCACGCACGGAACAGATATGATGGACGGACCCAGCTGAAGATGCTTAAGGGGAAAAGCTGCACTGAATAAACCATCTACGGTAAACATTACAAACCAAAGAAACCTCAAGTCGGTAACAGTATGGTTTCAGGAACCATATCTGCATGAATCACCATGGAACCAAACAGGAAGAGCAAGTATCGCGAGTTCAAGCAGGTACGGTTTCACACCCACCCACCACTGCTCAACACATGCACACATGATCACACATACACACTAGAGTCACTAGAACCTCAAGTTCAATGAGTTCACAATATTGTATGTTATACAGTGTTCAATTGGGCTATAAGAACCTCAAGTTCACCCACTGCTCCACTGCTGGACGCAGAACATGAGGAAAAAAACAAAAACATGAAAACGTCGCAGAGTCGCCCCTCAAAAGGAACCTCCAAACATCAAACATCCAATGCCCGCGGGCTCCAGGAGCCTCTCCTGGAGTCCTTCCGCTGCGCCTCCTGCTGCTCCCCGGCTCTTCCGCAACCTCCGCCCCCGGGCCCCCCGGCTGCTTCGCAGCCTTCACGCGGGCGATCTCCGCCCGGCGCTGCGCCTCCGCAGCGGCTTCCGCCTCCTCGGAGGAAACCGGGGATGGAGGGGATGGAGGGGATGAACATAGATATTTAAACACATGAGAGGCCGAAAATCACTCAAGAAGTAGAACCTATAGGCTATAGGGCATACTGATAATAAATCGTTGGAACATACAAGAGGCAGATGGACATTTATGATGGTATGCTGATATACGTAGTCTGAATTTCTAGCGTGATGGCAGGTGCTGCATACATGAGAAGGGGGTCGTCACCCGAGTTGATTGCAATTGTGGACCCTCTGACAACCTGTGAAAACCGTTCGGCTGGCTTTTGTGCTCTCCGCTGATGCCGACGGCTTGCTGGCATCCTTGTACGGATGGTTTCGAATTCCTCCATCGTCGATCACTTGAGATTCCAAGTGAACATGGTAGCTGTCGCCACCCCAGTGTGGATTTCCCCATGTGACCAACGCGCCATCAGCCAGGGCGGCAAAGGCTGCACGTGCAGCTTGGATCTGTTGAACGTTCTTCAGCTTCTGTTGTACATGTCGGCTGTCGCCGCCCCACTCTGGGTGTCCCCAAGTCACCACCTTTCCTCAAAGACATCGAAGAAAGACATGAGAAGGAACAGTAAAATCAATATGACATATCAGTGGTCAGTGGTACCTACACAAGTTTCGTACCTTGATGTTGCTTTTTAAATCTCAGCTGTCGGTGACCCGTTTTGCTGTTAGCATCATGAGTGATCGTGTGAAGCGCCATCGGCGAAACACTCCGGATGCGGCAAAATATCCGGCCTCTCTGTGAACCAGAAAAATGAATCACCTTACTTTAGGCCCAAGTACTTTGGAATATGAGAAGAAAACTTCACAAAGCACCTACAAAGATTGAACCAAAAAAACAAACCGAGGGTCCATTCCCAAGGACTGCAGCAAAGGCCAGTGCAGACGCATGGATTTGCTGCACATCTTTCAGCTGTTCTTGTACATGGCTGCTATCACCACCTGAGGGATCTTCAGGGTCTCTATACATGGATGCTGCCTGCTTACGAAGTATAGGTCTACCGCGGGGTGGTCCCGAACACTCACACTCATGGGGAGAAAAAAAAAAAACTCCTCCGCAATCGACAGAAACACGGGTCACTTTTGGAAAACCGGAACCCGCGCCTCACCGAAACATCCCAAAACCCAAAAAGAAAGCAGAGAGACATCGGGTCACTCTGCTACCCCGAAAATCGGGCATCGCACCTCCTTCTGGGTCGCCCCACGTCACCACCGTCCCATCCGCCCGCACCGCTGCGAAGGCGTAGTCTGAAGGCACCACGGTCTCGACGTCGGCGAGGCCGACGGGGCATGACGCGTCGAGCGCCGTGAGGTCATGGCCCCAGGTGACCACGGTGCCGCTGCGGCGTAGCGCACAAAAGCTGTTGCGCGTGCCCACGATGAGCTTGAGCGGTTCTTCCCGCAAGGCGGCTGAGACGCTGCGGCTGTCACCTGGGGTCAAACCCGCCACTGGGTGCGAGGGTTGCGAGGGGGGCTGGCGCCAGTGCAGTTCAACAATAATACGACCTTGGACAGATGTGTTTGTTGGGCACGTTCTTATCTCACCCTCTCACCCTCTCCTGCACTCCATGTCACGAAAGAAATGCAACATCTTGCTTCTCCATGCCACAGAATGCTTCCCCCACCCCGCCTCCATACTCCATCTTCCCCCAGGTCACCACCTCCCCGTCCCGGCGGATCGCCGCGAACGCCGCGCCCGCCGCGCCCAGCGCCACCACGGGCTCCGCCGCG